TCGATGTGACTTAATTTACGTCATTTAAGAGACATCATATAAGTAATGAAAGAAATTTTTTACTGGAATTACTTTCTATTATATTTTATTGCAGTTGGTATTAAAATGAAATAAATATATCCATTATATTATATATATGCAATATGTTATATGAATGTATACTAATATGTTAAATATATATATATATATATATATATATATATATATATATATATATATATATATATATATATAAAAATGTCTTTTATTGAGAGACGAATTTATACAGGATATACAATTACGTTTACTACGTTTTAGTGTTGGTCATTTCTTGAAATTTGTAAATTACTTATTATTATTTAAAACAAGGAAATTTAATTTGGTTGGTGTGGTTATTAAAAATTAATCAATGTTAAAATATGAATAAATTTCCTATTGAACTGTACTTGGGGTAGAAAGGCGGAACAACAAACAAAAAAGTAAATTCCGATTCACCCCGTCTAGTGTGGATAAACAAACACGCGTTACCGAGTATCCGCATTCTGTTAATGCCCATGCTTCCTATATATATCTAAATCTACATAAACAACCATTAATTTAACACCCTCCCCGTGTTCGCGGGAGTCGCCACGGTTGGCAAGCGGGCTGTTAGGAAGGTGCTGCTGTCCATTTGTTGCTTTATTTCCTCTGACATCTCTTAAGACACTGGTGACATGATCCGGCGGCATCCTTTAAAATGTAATCTATAGAAAACTTACCAAATACATCCACGAAATTAAATGGGGTAACGGATTCCCGTATGAGGCAGGAAATATGCCAAATCGGTTAAAATGTTGCACCATGTAGGTAAACTCAATGAGTTTCGTAGTAAAAGCAGGTCATATAATTTAAAAAAATAACGCCGGAAAATAAATAAAATGCTAAAGTCAATAGTGATTACTGAAGCATTTTTGTCGCAAAATTTAAGCTTCGAAAATAATTTTGCTAAAAGCGGTTATGTAACGTGTCAAAGTATTTTTGAGCGGAATTTTCAAACAGATTCATTGGAAACTAGCGAATAATTTATTTCGAATATGGTGTTGCTTTCCACCTGCGCCAATTTGCAAAGGTCTGCGTCTCTTTGCACGTTAAAAATATCCATCTTCGATTACTTAAACCTATATTCAGATTAAAAATAAATTATAAAGTTTTATAATTGATATTCTTATATTATTTTAATACATTGTGTAAATAATCACAATGTAGCATCCAATCATGATTACATTCAATCAATCATGATTGGATGCTACATAGCTGACCTGGAGGAATGTATATCGTAGTAGACTACCTCTTTGATCTAGTGGTCGTAAACACTACTGCTAATCATCAGTTCGAATCCCGGGGCCGACCAAAATCAGTTACTTATTGTTTTTTCGTCAATAAATTCCAGGTGGTATCGGGAGTCATGAAGTTGACGGGATTCACCCCATGTCCTTGAGAAAGCACGTGAAGCTGTTATTCCTGCGCCTGATCTCTCTCCGGTCGTGTCGAATTACCATATAAGTGCGAGGGAATAGAGAGTACACATAATCCTGCCCTGCGCAATTGGCTAGCCTCGGTTGTAACTGGTCGTCGTGGTAGGAATTCGGTCTGGGGGACATTATTAGCCGACTTCAAGAAAAGAGATGGATCACAATTTGCCTGCATATATTGTGTATGTGTACGTATCTAAACAAATGTGTATGTAATTGTGAACCGATTTTTTTCATTAAAAAGGTTATACTTCAGGGGCGGAAAAATATTCCATGCCTAAGAATGTAAAAATATCGGATGAACTTTTTAATGAAAGTATTGAGATGACATTGAGACTGTTATATTACTATATATACTAAAAGTATTCGTTTTGTTTATCCTTTTCAGTGGAATAACACTGAAAAGATAAACAAAACGACGACTTTTGAATATAATATATAAATATGACTTTTTATAAAAATTAAAAGCCTAATTAAAACAATTAAAACAAATAGAATTATTTTACATTCCGTATTTGGAGTTTTAACTTTTCTATACCTATAGTCTACGTACCGACTTCAGAATGTGAAATGATTTTATTGTTTTTAGTTGTTTAGTTCGACTTAAACGTTTCTTAAATATTTTATAACTATTATTATTTGTCACAGTGACAACTAGGCAGGCTGCAAAAGGCGTTATTATAAAGGCAAATGATATACTATTAATGCGCCTATTGTAAGACCCAAAGTTCCAATTATTCCATTTATATATATTATATTCATTTATATATATATTCCAAATATTCCAATTACCCAAAAGCGTAACTACTTTAAAATTGTAACTAATTACAGATAATAAAAGCACGTTAGTCTAGAAGAATCGAAGTAAGACGTACCTGAAAAAAATTTATAATATCGGTCAAGGAAAGTTGATATCAACAGAGAGTATCAATTATTTGCTGTGTGTACCGAAAATAATGTCACGAGACGTATAATATGTGTTTGCCAACAGAAAAGGATAGAATACTTCCGTGCGTCGACAGAATTAAAGATTACAGTTTATGGGTATTGTGATTGAAATGAAATCTATAGAGAACTGACCGACAGGAAAGTCTAGGTCAATGGTTACGATTCTGGATTGAATCCTAAGTTATCAACTACAATAAGATTCATCTTCTACGTGAACTGCACACGTTTTTTATTAAATATATTTTTATTATTATTTTTTAAATAGATTAACAACAATGCCGAAGCTATTGTGTCACTTAATATTTAAGTCAGGTCATGTTTTAAGATAGTTACAATATTGTTAGGTACATCCCCATACAACATCGATTGTTATTTACATTGAACCAGTTTTCCTCATAACATTGATGCTAAACTTTCTCCCCCTCCAAGCTTAGCTGCACCATTTATCAGAAGTAGTCCAAAGAAAAGAAGTTCGATTGACAAGGACAGAGGAAAATCAAACAGTAGATCATATTTTTGATTATAAATCTAAATAATAAAGAAATTATGGTTGCCAAACCTCCTTCAAGCGTGCCAACTGTGGCAGGATACAGATTGCCTATATGATGATAATGCGTACTCCGCGATGCGATTCCGCGTACTACCTCTCTGTGGAATAGTTACTACCGGCAATTTTTCCGGATCGATATGACCTAGGGACCTTCATTCAAGAAAAGAGCTCACTCCTTTCTAAAGGGCCGGCAACGCACCTGCAATTCCCCTGGTGTTGCGGTTGATCATGGGCGGCGGTAGTCACTTAACATCAGGTGAGCCGCATGCTCGTTTGCCCCCTCTTCTATATAAAAATCTCTTCTATATAAAATGCAATCTATTGGGAAGTCCTGTTTTCAGCAATTTGCTTTGGATAGGCTATAATGAAAAAATAATTGAATATTTACAATTTTTCACTATTCAGAAAATTACTACCGAACTAAATTTATAGTATTTTTTATTATTATAATTCACGTTTAAATTAATATTAACGATCTAAGCCGTAACCCCTTGAGGGCAACATCGATGACAAAATGAGACTCGTTACTGATTTGAATATTACCTACCGTTATACACGACCAGCAAATAATGTCCACGTTTGGCCGATTAATTAGTTCCAGACATTTTTATTAAAATGTCTCAAAATCATTCCCGAATAACAAGTTGTAATTTATCAACAGTAGTTAAATCATGAAAATGTGAGTAAGCTATTCTCATGTTTAATAATATTATTTTTAAAAACTATAAATCAACACGCATTGATCATTGGATGTAATATTCTTAGAGAGAAATATATATATATATATATATATATATATATATATATATATTTCTCTCTAAGAATATTACATCTACATATATATATATATATATATATATATATATATATATATATATATATATATATATATATATATATATATATATATATATATATATATATATATATATATATATATATATCGACGCTGGAAAGGAAAAATTATCCAAGCGACATCAGACTAACTTTACAGTAGAGCTGTTTAAAGTTTGAATTTTCTGAAAAAAAAATCGTGTAAATTTTTGTAATGGTCCAAAAAGCCCAATTCTTAGAAATTTATTTGTTTATTTTTTTATCTACATTATAGTATACGTAACTATTAAAAATAATGCTTAGTTTTAAAGTTAGTGTCGCTTAGTAAGATTTTCCCTAAAAGTAGAAACGGGAAAAATTGACTAACCGACTAGCTTTGATTAAGGAGGGTACAGTAAAAATGTAGTATATATCTTTTTTTTTATTTATAACAGAGTAAAAGTTGCCTTACCAATATAAAAAACATGTGGAAGTTGGGGCAAAACAACCTAAATATTAATTTTATATTTTTTTTTCCCGTAATTTTGACATAAACGACATTTTTACAGAAAATTGGATTAATTTTTCATTAAAGAATTACTAAAAAATAATGGATAAATAAAATGCACTTAAACTGTCTTGAGTTTTATTAAGTTTAACAAAGCAACATTATGGTACACAGTATTAGTGTTAGTTAGGTATTATAAATCTACTTGTATATCACAATAATAATAAATATGTGTTCTAGGAACATTGAGATCTTAAATGTAAGTATTTAGTCCTATTAATATTATTATAATGAATATAAAATTTGAATATGTTTACAAAACTAGTAACATTTCAGTCACAACAAATTTACCTCATAGGCAATCAGAAAACAATATGTAACAAAAAGAAAACTTATAAAAAAAAACGAACTTAATTCAAATTCTAAAAATAACAGTAGCCATATCAACTATACTCTATCAATTATAGTATGAATCTAACAGCCGCCAGGGAACCATCCTATAATTGACAGAGTATAAGTACTGTGCGAAAACAACTTACAGCTAGTAATATTTTCAGTCATCATCTACATTATAATATGAAGTAACAATTAAAAAATAATAGGAACCCGTTTAAAGCTCTCATTGAATAAACCGAACTAAAAATAAACTTCTAAAAAAAAACAACATGAAATAATCTGTATGTTGTAATTATTATTCATCATCTTCTATATCTGATTCAGGCAAGGTATCTTTTGCATTAGTAGCCTTTGGGATAATGGAGTATTCGTGATGGAATGGAGCAGGTATTACTTTATCTTTACAAAGTTTCATGAGATCATTATATTTGGCCTCTGCGATTGGCAGTCGTGATCGGTAGCAAGGCATCAGTGGACCTTTGGTTTTGGATTGAACTTCGACATTATACGGTTTTGCATTAACGTTCATGGAGTCTTTGATAGAAATCATGGAAGGCTTATTTTTCTTGACAGTCACGACACGAACTTTGCTAATTTTCCCAGTCAAATTCCCTTTGAAGTATTTATCACCAACGACGTCCCATCTATTAAAACTTTCAAAAGTCATTGCTTCAACTTCATACGGAAAAGGTTCTTTTATTGCCGTAGCAAATACAGTGTACCATTGCGAAGGCGCATGAATTATAGTTTTTTTAAGGTTGTTCTCTATAACGGCGTGTACACTGTCAACAGGCATATATGTGTGTCCTGTTAGTAAATAATTAATTTGTATCGTCTGAAGATTATTACACTCCTGCAAAGTAGAATGTATCATGGCTAGGACAGTGCGATTTCTATTCTGCCCAGGGCAACAGTCGCAGTATAGAAGAAGGTGTTTTATATTTTCTCTTTCATCCACAGATTTTATGTACCTGTGGAGAATACTTGCGATTTCATTTGCACCCCTTTTCCCGTTGCTTTCATCCCAATAATAGCAAGTTACTCTACGTGTTCCGTTTTCGTAGAAACATAGATTATATACCGCTATTTTTCTTGAATAATAAAGCAGCATTGACTCGCCATGTGGAGTATTCAACACCTTCTTCAAGTCGAAGCTTGCACATAATGTGGAAGGATCAGTTTTGTGTATAGATTTATGAGTAGAAAATCTATTAAAACTTTCTTCTTTCTCTGTTTCATGATCTTCCTTTTCTTTCTTTTTTTTTTTTGGATCGCTGAGATCTGCATGTTGCAACTGTAAACATTTCAGGCACTTGTCTTTTTTTAGGGACATGAAATGATATATTAAATTCTTCGCTAAATATTTTTCGGAAAATCTTTTCACTAACTATGTCTATGCCAGCTTTCACGTTGCGTTCTTTGTAAACGCTGTATACGTGTGCAATATTTTTGTATTCCTGCGGCAAGTAAACCCGGGTAGAATCATGACGGCAATAATGTGGGGGACGGCTGGTAGGCTTTTGATGAAATTGACGGCAGATTCTTTAGTACTAGGTTTGGTTTTGTTGTGTGGTTCACATTTTCCTCGCAAGTCTTCTTTAGCACTTCCCGAGGAAGCATTTTTTACCGTGTAATATATACACTTTTGTGAAATATCTAATGTTGCTGCCAAAAACTGTAAGCATACAGATCTTTTTCCTTCACCATCAGTAATGCAATACTTATATGTGTAACTGCGCAATTCTGAACTACTACGTTTACGTTTAACGTTTCCTTTGTCAGTCATGCCAACCAACCAGTCTCTACGGCGTTCAGGGGTAAGCGTCCAAAAATGTTTAAATACTTGTTGCCTTTTTTCTTCGGTTACGTTTTCACAATTGTTCCCACATTTCTTACCCTTACATGGATTAGGTTGAATTGATTTTTCTGGCACTAATTGACCATCTTTTCTTACGTATTCTTTTCCTGTTTGTTTCGAAAGAGCCCTTTCCTTTCTCGTGTTTTTCTTCACTCTTTTTAAACCTTTTTCTCCTACGTTCTCGTTTTCTGTATCCAAATTTTCTTCAGTATTATTTTCAAGCAATTCCCTGTTTTTATTCTTACTTGACTCTTTCCGCTTCTTTTTCTTATTTTTTTCTGTTTTTTTTCTTATTTGACTGGTCTTCTTCTTCATCACTGTTTGACGTGTCAGATCCTACCCATTCGTCAGAATCAACTGCGCCATTCTCTTCACCAAGACAGAATAATGTGGAAAAATCTTCATCAGACATGTAATCAACGTATCGGATACTTGTTTTGGCTTTTCGTTTACGAGTACTTACACCTAGAGCAGCCTTATCCTTTGGAGGTAACTCCTTATTGCGAGAGACTCCTGGAGCTGGATCGTCAATCGAAGGCAAGTCCATATTGTGAGGGACTTCTGGAGCAGGATCATCATTCGAAGGTAAGTCCACACTACGAGAGACTCCTGGAGCTGGATCGTCAATCGAAGGTAAGTCCATATTGCGAGGGACTTCTGGAGCAGGATCATCATTCGAAGGTAAGTCCACACTGCGGGAGACTCCTGGAGCTGGATCGTCAATCGAAGGTAAGTCCATATTGCGAGGGACTTCTGGAGCAGGATCATCATTCGAAGGTAAGTCCACACTGCGAGAGACTCCTGGAGCTGGATCGTCAATCGAAGGTAAGTCCATATTGCGAGGGGACTTCTGGAGCAGAATCATCATTCGAAGGTAAGTCCACACTGCGAGGGACTCCTGGAGCTGAATCGTCAATCGAAGGTAAGTCCATATTGCGAGGAACTCCTGGAGCTGAATCATCATTCGAAGGTAAGTCCATACTGCGAGGACTTGTTGTTCTAGTCTCCGAAGGATCGAGATAAACCTGCCAATTATCTCGAACGGTATCATTAATCGCAGATATGTCCATACTGTGAGAAACTCCTGATGCTGCATCGTCATTCGAAAGTAAGTCCGTACTGTGGATATGCTGCATGGTATCTGTAAGAGCTGCGAAAACTTTTCGTGTTTGTCATAAGATAAGCGTAAGCGGTACCTCAGTTGACAACGGAATTGCAGCGTGCGCGTGTCTCCCAAGCGACGACCGGCCGTGCACTGAAGTATCTTTTTTACTTTGAAACTAACTTCACTGCATGCTCAAGCGACTGCTCACGCGTTATCCGTAAGTGTAACCGACGTTTTTTATGTGAATTATTTTAGGTAAAAATAAACTTTGCGCCTGTGCGTGACACAACCATAGAATGTAACCAACATTGGATAATCGTATACGGTCAAGTAAAAGTTGCCTAAATAATAAAATAACACTTGAAAACGGCAGGTAAAAATTGACTAACCGACAGTCAGTTGTATTTTTAAGTAGGTAATATTTGCTGAACCAGTTGAATATTAAAAAAAGAAAACTGCCAATTTTAACTAAACGCCATGTTCGAAAAAAACCAAATCAGCCAAAAATTACCTAAGTGATAAAAGAACAAATCCTTTCTGAGGAAAAAATATACTATGCACCTTACACTATATTGCCAGATACTGGAATAATTAACTAAGTGGAGTAATTGCCGTACGAACAGAAATGTCAAACTTGACCAAAGTCAAATTTAGCATTTCACAATTACGACTACCACCAAATTTTCAAAAATGCTCGAAAATTTTGTCGGTTAGAAAGGAAAAAAAAGTGAAACCTCGCGAATTCCATAATGTCGAAGCGACATCAAAAGTCGTCGTAGAAGGACGTGAGTAAGACCAAACGACGCAGAAAAATCAGGCGATTCCAACAATGTTTATAACTCAATATGGCCAAAAATGTCGCTTGGATAATTTTTCCTTTCCAGCGTCGATATATATATATATATATATATATATATATATATATATATATATATATATATATATATATATATATATTAGCCTGATGGTCATAATCAGGATACTAGGAAAGTATAAGTTATTAAAATATAGTATTGACATTAATTCGAGTGCAAATGTTGAGGTCAATCGGCCGTCTTTAAGTTTTTGAAAATTACAATAAAAATTCCGTTACATAGATAGTACACGCAAAATTAATAGAAACGTGTTAAAAAAAACGGAGCTAACGAATATTTTCAAGGCAATTGTAATGTATCGATAGTAATGTTTCTTAGCTTAAGGTTTTCCACTGTATTTGTGTTTTATTAACCTTTTTACCCTTTAGGCGGATAGCGAAATATTTATTTATGTTGACTTACTTGTGTGTTTATGTTAGTTTTCTCTCGTAAGCAAATATTTGTGTTTATATTTTAGGTAGTTTCTTACATTATAACAAAATTATATTTTAATTATTTAGTTCTTAACTTTAAGTATTATTATATTTTTTTATAGAATATGGGTGACAAACGAGCACACAGTTCACCTAGTGGAAAGTGGATGCTGTGGCCTATTATATACATCTACATATGGGTACACTTCATTAAGAATCAAAATGCAGATACGTTGTCACCCCAGAGATCTAAGATTGAATGCCTTGTTAGTAAAAAGGTTCTCCGGTTCTCTAATATCACTATACGAAAAACAGCAGTATTAAGCTGCTATTTTACGCTGGTATTCTGTGATAACGTGGTCCAGAGCTGTACACCGGTCGCGCCAACCCATTCATACTACAACCATAATATAACTGCAGCGTGCTTCTACCACGTATAAAATATTAATTAGGTACTTGAAATTTATTACAACACTATATTTCTGCGGTACATTTTGGTAAATGGTAAGTACATAAGATTAAAGCAAATCTTGTCTAAAACGGGGAGAGTCAGTGTACAGACCGATAATCAAGAAGAAAGCTACGGCGATCTTTAAACCGTATTCATATTTATTTAAATTATATTTAGTTAAAATTACTCAAGAGTTGTCATGATGGAATATTAGTCCAGTCACTAAAGAAAAAATGAGGTCAATCTCGGAATTTGAGATAAAAAGCTGTAAACTCGTGTACAGCTTCATTTTGACGTTCTAAAAGTTGTCTCAAAAGTCTCATATTATCTCGTGTCTGCGTCGTTAGTTATTCGAGGTCAAGGGTTACGAAAATCGTTTTTTTGCAATCATCTCCGTTTCTATGGTTCTAATCACTTCAACGCCTGTTATAAAAATTAAAGATAAAAAAATTGCCACAAATTTTGGCTCAACTGTTTTTCTATACGCTCAACCCTTTTCGAGATAGAGGGCGGAGAGCACCCAGCGCTCAGGCATACATACTGTAATATAAGGTCAACAGTGAATCTCGTTGAATAATACAGTTATTAAATTATTAATACATTGTATTAAATAATGTTTTTATATATATCTTATTTTTCTATTGAGATTATAACTGGGAAGGCGGACCTCTATAATATAATCTTCCACCAACAAGTGCAGCAGCTCATCAACACATAAATCGTGTTTATTACCAAATTCAATGGTTAGGACATGGTTTAGAACCTCAATAGTGGTGCTGGGTACTCCAAAATGAATTTCTGCAGCCAAGGGTCGAGCGTATAGATATAGATTCCAGAAGTTGTGGAATTTTTTTTTATCTTTAATTTTTATAATAGGTGTTGAAGTGATTGGAACCATAGAAACGGAGATAATTGTAAAAAACCGATTTTCGTGATCTTTGACCTCTAATAACTAACGACGCAGACACGAGATAATATGAGACTTTTGAGACAACTTTTGGAACCCCAAAATGAAGCTGTACACGAGTTTACAGCTTTTTATCTCAAATTCCGAGGTGAAAACCTAAAGTGACTGGACTATAAGTAAAGTCTACACAAATGCAGTGTCCGACTGGGGCTTGCCGTTACCGTTACGGCCTATAAAAGTCATCTGTTGAATGTAAGCCTCCGCCATAGATCGCCACATAGAATGATATTTGCCATAATTACCACGCTTGATATATGGATTGTTAAGCGCGGTTTATTAAGCTACTGCATAGCTTTTATCGCGGGCATTGAGCGCGGCGACCGAATCAAGAAATTCCGTAACGAAAATAAACGTCTATCGTCTAACGTCGTTTAAGTTCAGCAGACTTCAGCACGGTGTTTGTGTGCGTGTTACTAGACGTATGCGTGTAGACTAGTTGCATGTATTGTAAGATAATAAAAATATTTTAAACATTAATATAATTTATTGCAAGAAGCATATTCTTTGGATGTATATGAGTCGTCGTTATGCTAGCAAGTTTCGTGAATTTGTAATACACATTAAACACAGACTTTATAGAAAATTATCCTTTGTCAGAAGAACTCGTTAATTACCATAAACCTATAGTTTCAATGATAAAAATTCCTGAATAACCTACATCTATTGTATGATAACAAAAATATTTTAAACAATAATTACTTCTCATTTATCAATAAAAGAAAAAAAAATTGTTTTCTTATCGGTCACCACGCTCAAAAAGTGTAACTTGATTTAATACCAAAGAAAAAAAATTGCATAAATAAAATAAATTATAATTGCATAAGTTGATAAAAATGCTATGCAATAGCTTTACCGCGGCAGTCACCGAGTGCCACACGTATTTTTTTTATTGTTTTAAGCCAGCGCTTAGCTACAATCCCACCTGATGTAAGATGGTGAATCGCACTGACTTAATAAAAACCTATTCACTCTTGCCTTGAAGACACCCATACTGTAATTGGATGGAAAGAGTTCTCAGGGTTGAAAACTGAAGGCGGTCGGTGTATTCCAGTGACAGTTGATATTAGGAATAGGCTTCCGCCGTTCTCCCGATTTGTTTCTTTTGTCGCCTCTTACGAAACTCACGGGAGGACATGGGGCAGTTGATTCCTACACCGCCACTACACGGTCATGGTTAACCTGGTAAAATTACTATAATACAACCGTGGCCGTTCATCATTCACATGATTTTAGAAGTGAAAGTTTGTCTTCAGTCGTTGGATATTAAAATCTCAGCAAACTTCTACATTTATTTACTCAAATGCCAATTGGCAGCAAAAAAATAAAAACAAGGCCGTAAACACGCCGTATGCAGTGGTACTTCGTACAAAGGCATCTCTAACAGATCCGATCGTGTATAAAGTACTTCTGTTAGCTCAGGGTAGATTCTGTCAAATATACTCACCAGCACGGAAACTTGGCCAAGCGGTTATCTCGCGATAGCAAAAGCTTTAAGTGTTTCTGATGAATGTTTGTTATGCAAGTATGTCAAAAAATGTTTACCCTCAAGTTCAAGAGGGTAATTCATTATGTTTAAGTGCACCATGATGAATTTAATTTTTAGTTGAATCGGGTCATTTGAGCGACTAAGTTCACATTTTAAATTTGTGTGTTGTGAAAAGTTTACTGTAAGATTATTCAATTATTGTGATCTTGTGTCTTAATTAAATAACTAAAGGTGCTTTAAAGCCAATAAAAATGCCATTAACACCAGCACAAGTTGCACAAGCAGTAGCATTAATTGACCAAGGGCTGACACAGCGTGAAGTTGCTATTGTGCTTAACGTACCACGGTCCTCAATGCAGTATTCACTGAAACGATACCAGGAGACAGGCCGCTAAACCCGCAGGCCAGGCAGTGGGGGCGTAAGGTGCACATCGGCCCGGGACGATCGTTTTATTGTTATGGAGATTTTGAGAAACCGCTACCTGACCGCTGTTGAGATACGCCAGCGGCTCCAAATCGCAAGAGGCGTTAATGTTAGTGAGCGTACGGTGAGAAGACGAATGGAGGAAGTGAATTTAAAAGCTCGTAGACCAGCACGAGGTCCAGAACTTCTCAGACAGCACCGAGTAGCCCGACTTCAGTTCGCAAGAGAACATGTCAATTGGACCCACGAGCAATGGGCTAGAGTGTTGTTCACAGATGAGTGTCGAATAGCTTTACGTGCTCCAGACGGTCGAGAACGAGTGTGGAGAAAAAGAGGAGAGAGGTTTCTACCCATTACCACCACCCAAACTGTGAGTTTCCATGGAGGCTCAATAATGGTATGGGGAGGTGTAAGTTCCGACGCACGTACAGAGTTGGTCATCGTCGATAATCGGCTTACAGCTACTCGATACATCGAGGAAGTTCTTCAGGAGCACGTAATGCCTTATTCGGGATTCATTGGACACGACCAATTCCTCCTCATGCACGATAATGCACGCCCGCACGTCGCACATTGTGTAGAGGAATATCTGGAAGAGGTTGGAATACAAAAATTACAGTAGCCAGCTCGTAGCCCGGACTTAAATCCAATTGAACATGTATGGGGTATGCTCAAAAGAAAGATAAAGTCCAGCTCCAAACCGCCACAAACTCTAAATGAGCTCCGAAATGCAGCGCTGGCCGCTTGGGACAGCATACCGCAAGTTGATGTCAGAAACATCATTCAAAGCATGCCAGATCGAATGCAAGCGGTTATCAGGGCTAGAGGAGGAAACACCCGATATTAAAACTGATAGACAATAAAGAAACAGACTTAATTTTTAACTTTGTAGTGTTTTTAAAGTGACAATGGAAAGATGTTAATTTTAGTGAAAACATGTTATCTTGAAAAGAAAAATTTCGGTGAAGTAAACATTAAATTTCTATGTTCTAAAACCATTAGAGATACTTATTGAATGCATCTACCCTTAATTTACTGTTAAAAAAACGTTTCAGTGCAAATAATCAGCAAATTCACGAGTGGCCAAGTTTCCGTGCCGGTGAGGTATATTTTAAGCTGTTTTAACTACGTTACAATTCTTGTGACTGATGTTTTCATTTTTAAAAGCTTCAGAAGTCAAAACTTATTAAATATTTATTTATAAAATGTATTATTAATTAATTTTCATTATTAATTTATTAATACCGAGATAATAGGCAAAACTGTACATTATGTTTAATCTCATTCTTTCGCGGGTTCAATCCTATAGATGTATATGTTTCTCTATTTTTAGTGTCGCTTTTACATTTCACCCAGTTTCAAATCACAACGATTCTAAAGTTTTCAATAAAAAAACACAAATAAGTCCGTCCGTATGCAGCTCAGTGGGACGAATCGTAACACATTTAGACCAACGAAAGAAAACATTTTAAAATTTTGCACACATGTTGATCGTGGCTAGGACTTTAGGCACTGCAGGTATTATGAGTTAATAGTCATCATCTAACTAATCTAATCTGTGAGATTGAGAAATCTAACAAATCACAAATCTTACTTCTTGCAGCCGTAAATAATTTGAATTCCAAACTATTTTACGCGAAAGCAGAAGTTCTCTAACGACAGAAGAACACAAAGCCCTACATTATTCGAACTGTAATCGAGTTACCACTTAAGCCCTTAATTAATTAACACAACTAAATTTACGTCCTCTGAGCAGAAGAACTTGCCAGTAGATAATGAGTTACCTAGATATCTTAGTTGCGGTGGCGTAAGATTGTTATATGAATTGTTGTTTGTGTGTCAAGTCAACAATTGCATGGGGAGCTACAAAGTGACTGATTCAGTTCGTAAAGCTGGCATGATATAGCTTATATTGCGATCAACAATCTGCTTGCTGTTCGTGACTAACCATTCTTATGTCAAAGGAAGCTTGTAAAAAGCATTAAACTTTTTAAAGACTGATTTTACTTATCATATAATCCTAAGCATATAATCCTAGCTGTTGTTAAGTGGTTTATTAAAGTACGAGTATAAGGGGGACAAACGAGGAAGTGGATGCTGTTGCCCATAGATATCTACATTTATCCTTGATTAAGAATCAAAATTCAGATGCGTTGTCACCCCTGAGAACTACTAGGAAATACCTCGTTCCCTGTAAAACAGTCACCATATGAAACACGGGAGTATTAAGCTGCTATTTGAAGCTGGTACTATGTAAGACTGTGCTCTGGTCGAGCCGATCCATTCGTGCTACAACCTCAAATGGCTCTGCTACGCAAATAAAAGTAAAAATAAAAAAATTTAATCCACTTTTTTTAATTAAGCTCAGAGCTTTGCAAACCCTTAGTAGCTCATGCATCAGCCGTTAGCTGCACCATAGACATTTCAATTTTAAAAGAGGCCCGTGACTAATAGTATGGTGTGTATAAGGTATAGCAATTTTACTTTACGATTTTGGCACCTCAGAAACATTGATTGTTATAAAGCGTTAATAGCTATTAAAGTCAATTACGTTTAATTCTTTTTTTTGATACGTTACCTCTAAACAAGGAATTTCTCCAAAAGGCGTTTTACATACGTAAATTGCCAGGAGAAAATATCCAAACCCAAAGAATTATGTAGTCCATTTAAACTCTTGTTCCCTGCGGGGTTTACTTTGCAATTTGTACGTAGTGCTGCAGTATTGCAATCACGTACTTAGCAACTGAGCGGACAAAGCATATTTTCTAAGCCACGACTTTGAATAAAGCAGTTTACGGATTATCGTTTTATTTACTAAGTTAATCATTTGCTTCCATTCTACTTAAATGGACTACACCGAGAGATAGTGTCGTGATTGATTTCAATACACATTCTGATACGTAAGGATTTTCTCAGACGGTACTATTGTGTTTGCTGACTAATTAAGTCAAGTTCATTATTGTTGATCACGTAGAAATTATTACCTGTGCATGATTTACCGACTGCTAATGATATTTGTATAATAAAAATACTAGCAATGCTATTAACAATACTTGTATATTCATAAACCTGAAGAAAAAAGGTCGTGTCTGTAATTCTAATATTTTCTAAAAACACAGCTAAACATACAGGTCACTAAAGCCAAATTAGGGGTTTTAGTATTTTTTACGAATTTATATATTATTTATAGATATAATCTATACAATGCGCCGAGTTAAATCGGTAAAATTTATTTTTGGACAAATTCACTCGATTCACTCGAGTGAAATAAACATGGTTAGAGTTGCATCGTTATGGTAAGAACAAAATGAAGTCTGTGGTTAAATATTAATGATGGTCGCGCAAACGTACAATTAATACATGTTTGATTTTTATTTACAAGCATTACAAGACTAATGTTTAAGAGAATATGGATAATAATAATTATCATGAAATTGTTTCAGAACTCTTTTTATTTTTTGTGGTAAAATTCGCAAATAAAAGTGACGAGTTTAGGTTAATTAATATAAGAGTTTATTAATTTACACCTATAATTTGTGAAAATCTATTATTAAGTTTGTTGGATTACCTAAAACTAAAACAAATAACCAACAGGTCTTAAACATTAAAAAACATTAGTTTGTTAAAAGTGACAAATTATTAAGTTTGTGTTATTACTAAAATCTAAATTAAATAATAAATACATTAAATACACAAAAGAAGTTATTATAATATTAAAAGAAAATTAGAATCTTTGGATCGAAATAAAAACAGTAACCGCAGTTAAAACTATATATTAATGAATTTTATGTTTGTAGAAGCCTTTCATATAAATTATTTTTACCATAAGCACTGAAACGACATAGCACACGGCAGAACACTCAACTAATTATATATCATTTCAAATTGCACTGCGTCAACAAGATGCAGTTGCGTTGCGGCCGCACTACGCTCACGTACTCATATATGAGTATTCTTTATTCAAAAGTATTAGATTGGATGTAGTTGGGAAAAAACGTTCGTAATATCTCACAACACAAAGAGAAAAAGGTCATGACGTTGTACTACTGCGTTATGAATGAAACTTTTTTATAGAATTGAGGATAACGAACGGGCACACAGTCCACTTGCTAGCGAGCAATTACCCATAAACACATTAATCATCGATGTAGAATCGAAATACTTGATTGAATTGTTGTCACCTTCGAGAGCTAAGCATGTCTCAGTAGAAAGTAATTCTAGTTCTTTAATATGAAGTATTATTCTGTATTTCACGTTGGCATTCCTTGCGAGCATGGTGGTTTTTTCGGTTGAGCCGATGCAAGCTTGTCGCAGCTGTAATACTCGCTGCAGCAAGGCATTACGATGCCGCATATTCAATGAATAGTTACAACATAACATATCGACGATGAAGTGACAAGAACTCCTAACTGACATTTTTGCGATTTTACTTTTTTTTCGTAGATAAACTTTAAATAATTGTTTGCGTGAGCAGGCAATAGCAGCTAACTTTATATCTTATTTTTTAACCAGTTATTAATAACTGATAATAACTATTAAGCAAATATGCATCAAATTTTCTGACAATATCATCTAAGAAACTAATATCAATAACTACTAAATAACCCTAACGAAATTATTTCTGTCAAGACCTCCTATCTTCACTCCTGCTAGATACGTCCTTTACTTTCACGCAGCTGCCGGCCGACTGAATGGTCCTGCTTGGTGCTTGCGTCTAGGAAGGATAATTTCATAGATAAAAATGCGAGTGAGACGGATAGAAGGGATCATGCAATATTCGCTTACATTTTTTCTTCTGTCATTTCGTTTGAATTCGGAGCAAGTTGCAACGTGAAAGTTTGCGGGAAGTGTGTTTTTGTTGTTTTTAATGTAAATAGTGGGATTTTTGTTATACCAGGTAATTATTTTTTGCCTAAACTAATGCTCATACAGTTAAAACTTAAACAGAAGTGTTTTCTTCTTGTTTTTTTTTGTTATTGTTAAGGTTAATGAATACGTTTTTCAAATACCCAAGTAGGTATTTTAAAGTTGATGAAGTCTTCTGGTTTTTCCGAGCTATATTAATAAAATATACAGCTTTTGTTAATCATCTAATTAAATTTAGTTTTATACTACAATAATATCATAAGATTATTATGTTATCGTAAGTTTTATTGGTGTGTTCCAAGAACATAGAAGTTATTGTTTGAGTGTACAAATTTGATTTGTACATTTTTAGTAGATAGAAGCAATTGCTTTTGTATTAGTATAGAACCATAATAACTTTTAATTCGTTCTAACAAAAAAATACTGATGTTTAGTCATTAATTATAATACGTAATAATCTTTTTTATAGGCCGCCAATATTATTACTACCGCTATGGCTCGATTTCTACAAGGAGTGAGAAGCAAAAGGATTCTTAGCGAACTTCAACAAAATAATTTGGTAACAAACCTAAGACATTCTACTGCTGAGGAAAATGAACAAATATTTATACATCAACACGAAATGGTAAGATATTAAAATCATCAATCATTTGCGTATAAAGTTCTTCTGCTTTGCATAAATAGGAACCTACTTTGTAAGAACTCCTTAACTTTACATTTAATAATGATTTATTTATTTATTTTTAGTCTGAAAATAACATAAACACGCCTTTTTCTGGCAATTGCTGTAGTCCTGAACAAAGCGATCTCAACCCTAATGCCAACCCAAAGGAAGCTATCAACGCCACCATCAATGTTCTAAGTCCACCAGAAATCTGTAGCTTTGAACCCACAGAAATCCTTGACAATAATGATTACGAATCTACTTCTTTATATTCAAGCACTCGTCGTCGTCTCGTAGTAAGGTCTTGGTCATTATCTGATTTAACGCATGATACAAACAATATGATTAGTTCCCTAAAAAAGTCGCCATCGGTTCCAGCGTTGTTGAACATTACCAGTAATCTTGATTTATTGATTGCGTTTAACAAACCGGATCAGATCGAATCTACATCAGATGATGTTTACCAAATTCCTGAAGAAAGAAATTTTGCTGAAGTATTGGTGACTGGGGACCAACAAGATTATGGAGATATGGAAGAAGGTCGAAAACGTCGTCACAATGCTGACCCAAAATCTTGGAAAAGGAACAAGGCTTTTTTTGAAGCGAATGCGAGGTGAAGAGTATCTAGGATATTCTAAACCAAAAGATAGGAAGTTCCAACAAGATACTGTAAGACAAGCAAGACGGCTAAGACCAACTTGCGTCGCCAATTTTTGTAAGAAGAGTAAGGTAAGAGGCTGTGATAGGTTCACTGAGGATTGTCGAAAGGATATACATAGCAATTTTTGGAAGAAAATGACCTGGGATCAACGAAGAGTTTACGTTACGGGATTGGTGACACGATCTAGTACATCTCGGAAAACTAAATCGGCTAGTGAACTATCTAGGCGGGAGGGAACTCTATCATATTTTTTGCCGATTGAAAAAGATTGTTCAAATAAAGTACAGGTATGTAAACAAATGTTTTTAAACACCTTATCACTGGGATCGTTCAAGCATGGGTAAAAAAGAGTGAGTTTGGCATGACTTCAAACCATGATGCAATATACGATTCTAAAACAAAGACTCCAAGAGCAGAAGTGGAAACGAAACTTTCGATTTTAAACAATTTTTTTACAAGTTTGCCAAAATTGCCATCGCATTACGCAATAAAAGATAAAGCTAAACTCTTCATAGAACCAATCTATAGTTCTCTTTCTGACTTATATAAAGTGTATAAGAAATATTGCACTGAAACTAGTCAACCTTACGTTAGTAGATTTACATTTGAAAAGAATTTTCATGACAAAAATTTGTCACTATTTACGCTTAAAAAGGACATGTGTGACACCTGTTCAAGTTACAATTCGGGTAATTTAAATGAATCAGATTACCAAATACATATAATTAAGAAAAACAGAGCTAGACAAGAAAAAGAAGAGGACAAGAAAAAAGCAGCTGCTGGAGAATTTATACTTTTGACTATGGATTTAGAAGCTGTGAAGGTTTGTCCTTACCTTACTGCTAGTGCTTTGTATTTCAAGACAAAGTTAACGTGCCATAATTTCACTGTTTTTAATTTAGTAACCAAGCACTGCAGTTGTTATTGGTTCGACGAAACTTCTGCTGATTTAACGTCTAGCACTTTTGCGACGTTTTTAATTGATTATTTAGAAAGACATTGTATTCCACATCAGTTACCAATTGTTATGTACTCCGACGGGTGTACATATACCAGAATCGTAATTGTGTGCTGGCAAATGCACTGCTCCTTTTGAGCAAGAAACATAACGTAATCATAACGCAAAAATTTTTAGAACCAGGTCACACTCAGATGGAGTGTGACTCGGTTCACAGTACTATTGAGCGAAAACTCAAAAATCGGGAAATACATTTGCCTAGTGATTATGTCACGATTACTAAAGAGGCACGAAGCACTAACCCTTATGAAGCAATTAATGTAGATCATGAATTTGTTAAAGATTATGCCCGACCTGAAAATATGCTTTATAAAAGTATTCGACCAGGCCGCAAAGCTGGTGATCCACAGGTTGTAGATATCAGAGTAATAAAGTACAATATTATGACAATCGAAGTTAAACTGGGTTTTGACGAACAGTTGATTCCTTTACCGCACAGACCTAGGTTACTAGCTTCGGAAGCAATCTATCCTCCACTACATCCTAATAAAATTCCAATTACTGTAACGAAGTACAACCACCTGCAACAACTAAAAGCAGTATTACCTAAAGATTGCCATAATTTTTATGACACTTTGCCATTTGTTTGAACCATTTGGTTCATTTAATAAAACATAATTTTTGAGACAACATAGTTGTTCCAACATCATCTTCCTGCCCTTGTCCGATTTTATTTGCGGTCGGCATAACATGTTTTGTTCCAATAATTGTAATTATAAACTGATTATATTCTGTTTTCTTTTAATTAAGTCTCAAGAGCAATGTAGCCATTTTTATGTTGTATCAGATATTTGATTGTAATAATTAATAGGACAATGTTATTTTCTAACAATCTGTAACATTTTTGAAGTTAATTAAAAATTATTCTATGAAAATCACGACTTTTCTTTAAAATATTATAGAAATTCCTTACTAGAAATATCTTCTATCTTTGCTATTATAATGTATATTTTCAAAGCCTAGATTGCAATATCACCTATCTACGTCTAAATCAAAAAGTTGATTGTATATACACTATTCGCACATAGCCCCCTATACCCGCTTCTTATTTAATATATATCCAATAATAGTATTTTTCATACCTTGCGTTTAAAATAAATAAAAAAGTTTTTTTCGTTTCCTGTAAAATCATGTTCTGGTAGATAAAGGTTCTTGTCACTTCATCGTCGATATGTAAAATTGTCGTTTATGCAAATGTCACATTTTATATATTGTTTTTAAGCCTCTCGCTTTTTAAATATTTCCACGCAACAAATTATTTTTCATTATTCATAGTTTATAAAATGAGGAACTTAAAGACGTTAGCATACATTTAATTGTTTTGATATATTGATATATTTTTATAAGATTTTTTTTTAAGATATTTGATATATTTTAAGAGACGTCAACTAATTTTTTATTATTTAATTGTTTCAAATTTAACTGCAACTGTTAATTTAAATTAAATTCCCCGCCAATACAGTGAAGTAGACGGCAAGAGTAAATCGTCGGTCCTTTTACCCCCTACTTAGATTGTGGTGCAATAGCTGGCCGTAACTTTGTAATCATACCGTAATAAATTTTCTTAAATTTATTGGTTAGCACAAACAAGAACCCCCCCCAGAACAATCCTGTTTCCGAAAAGCAGAGACAGAGACCACACCCACACCCTTCGCCAAATGATGTAGGAGGCCAAAGAGTACAACCTGCCAGTTTGCATTGCGTGTGTGGAGTATAAAAAAGCTTTTGATTCCATCGAAATTAGACCAGTCCTACAATCACTTCAGTAGTATCAAATTGACTGATAGTACAGTATATAGTAGTTTGTACAGTAGGGCTACGAGGCTACTGGTTATCCGAAAACAAAGCGAGATTATGAAACCCGTCCAACTGCAAAAAGCTGTAAGACACGATGATGTTACTCGTATATCCTTGAAACGCGTCACCGCTACATTGGAAGACGTATTCAAGCTACTGGACTAACAAGGATATAGTATTAACATCAACAGCGAGTAAAGCACCCATCTTCGATTTGACGATATAGTCCAAAATCGCTCGAGAACATCATCATTATCAAAATTGCCTCAATAGTGACTTTCAACATATAGGTGTTAAAATGAACATGGATATAACAAAGATCATGTGTAACGTTCCATGTAATAATTATGCCGGTAGTTGTTGGAAGCACTATGCTCAAAGTTGTCGACGAGTATGTTAACTACTCTTAGTTAACATACTCGGCGACAACTTTAACACTCCCTATTCTCACACTCTCATAGTCCGACGGACGGTAATCCGACACGACTGGCCAGAAATCTGGAACAGGACCAGGTTTGCGTGCTTTTCCTGGTACAGGACTGAAACATCACCAACATACTGATTCACTAAGTTTTTTGGAAGCAAGCTTTTTAACTTCCACCTGCATATTAAGAGACTATTAAGTGTTTGACATTGGCCTTAGCTCTTAGATAGTAATTAGTACATACATAAATACATAAACACTCACGCCTGTCACCCAGAGGGGTAGGCAGAGACTACAGACTTCCACTTGGCACGATCCTGACACACCTCTCTCGCCTCCTTCACATCCATACATCTACGCATGCATGCTCGTCGGTTAAGGGTACTCCTAATTTGGCCCGTTTTCAATAAATCGCCAATTTGGTCGATAAATTTTCGCCTAGGACGTCCCTTTTCCGACTCTGCCATTCACTTCTGCAACATAAATTTTCTTTGTCACTCTTTCCTCATCCATTCTTTCCACATGACCAAACCACCGAAGCATTCCTTTCTTAATCCTGGTCACAACATCATCTTGCAAACCACACTCTTCTCTTATCACACAATTCTTCACCCTGTCATTCAGATTCAGCCCTAACATACTCCTTAACGACCGCATTTCTACTGCATTTATTCTACTCTCGTGCTTCTTCTGCCACACCCAACTTTCACTACCATACGTTAAAGTAGGGACCAACACAGCATTGTGAATTGCCATACGTGCCTTTTTTGACACATTTTGACTCTTCACAATAGAGTGCAGGGCCCCATTTACTCTTTTTCCTGCGTTCACTCCTCGTTCTATATCCTTATCATATCTCCCATCCCTGCTAAATACGCAACCCAAATATACAAACTCATCTACTTGCTCGATCAACTCCCCCACCTATTCTTATTTCACATATCGTTTTACTTTCATCTTTTTCAAAAACCATAATTTTCGTCTTACTTGCGTTCACTTTCATACCCCTTTCTTTTAATGATCTGTTCATTAATGTAACCATCATTTGCAACTCAGCCGCCGACGACGCAAGAATAACTTGATCATCGGCGTACAAAAGGCATTTGATGGTTAACTCACCCATTCTTAATCCGCATTCTTCAACTTTCAAATTTTGCAAACAACTGTCCATAAATAGGTTGAACAACCACGGGGGAAGCCACACAGCCCTGTCTGACACCTTTATGGATGCCAAACCAGTCGGAGTAGACCCCGTTGATCCTAACACAAGCACTAGAGTCCCTATAAAGAGATTCCAATGCCTGTATCAAACCAGCGCTCAACCCAAATGAGTTCAGTGTTTGCCATAGCACATTCCTATCCACTCTGTCATAGGCCTTCTCCAAGTCCATGAACGCACAAAAAACCTTTTGGTTTTTGGCCAAAAACTTCTCCGCGATCATGCGCATGGAGAAGACTTGATCTGTACATCCCATTCCCTTTCTAAATCCCGCTTGCACATCCCAAATTTTTCCATCGGTTTCTTTCATGACCCTTTCAATTAGTACCTTGGCACACAATTTTCCCACGATGCTAAGAAGGTTGATACAGCGGTAGTTTTTACAGTCCTGCTGCGACCCTTTTCCCTTATATACTGGGACTATCACGGCTTTGCACCAGTCTCCCGGTACCCGCTTCAGTTCCCAGCATACATTAAACAAGGTGTGCAGCAGGCCTGCCACCACTTCCTCTCCAGCCCTTAGCATTTCGAGTGAAACTCTATCATAACCGGCAGCCTTACCTGCTTTCATGCTTTTCATTGCTTTCATTATTTCATCTATACTTATCTCGCTACCTCCTTCCTCTTCTTTCGGAGTTCCTATTTCATTCAGTTCATATGTTCTCTCCTCACGCATTAACATGCTTTCAAAATATTCCTTCCATCTCTTTAAACTCAAAACTTCATCATTCAGAATATAGCCATTCTCATCTCTTATAGCATTCATTATAGGCTGTTTTGAACGTCCCCTGGCAGATCTTACGAGTTTCCAGAACATTTTAATATTTGCCTGGAAGTTATCCGATATTCTTCTATCATTCCTATCCGTTCTTTCTTGCTTTTTCCTTTCAACTACTTCTTTTACTCTTTTATTTAGATGTCTAAAGACTGCCTTTTTTCTTTCAAAATCATCATTCGTACCGCTAGATTTAGCCTTAGTTGCTAGTAAATCTAGCCATGCTCTCTTCTTTGCTTCAACTTCCGTACGTATCTCATCATCTCACCACAAAGTATTATTTTTCCTTTCATTATTTCTTTTACTAACACTACATACTTCGGTAGCTGCATCTACTAAACCTTTCTTAACATTTTGCCATACATTCTCCAAGTCTAACTCATTCATACATAATTCATCCAAACCACTTACGTTTTCTTTCAGTCTACATTTAAACTTGTTTTTCTCACCTTCATCTTGTAATCTTTCTGTTCTAATACGCTGTAAAGCAGTGGTAGACACAGATGACCGATGGCGCCACCGCCTGAATAGACCATTAATTCGGCATAAAACCAAAAAATGATCCGTTCCTACATTTGACCCCCCGGTAAACCCTTGTATCCACCACTGCGCCCCTCAATCTTTCATCCACAATTATGAAATCTATCATGCTTCTATCGTCGCCTCTTTCCCAAGTATACGTGTGAATCGTCTTTGGGCGAAAGCAAGTGTTCGTCACAAAAAGATTCTTTTCCATACATACAGTGAGGAGGCTTTCACCATTCTCATTTATACTTTCATCACCAAACGTTCCCAATATCCTTTCATAACCAAGCCTCCTCACCCCAACTCTTCCATTAAAATCTCCTAGCATAACAACATTTTCATTTCCCTTACATTTCATTAATACCATCCTTACCATTTCCCAAAACTGCTCTCGGATATGAGTGGGCTTAGACATGTCTGGGGCGTAGACCCCTAGCACAAACAACTTCTTTAAGCCCACTTTCAATCGTATCCATAGCAGTCTTGGGCTTACACATTCATACTCTTTCACACATTGCACCATTCTTTCTGATAGGATGATACCTACTCCCTGGCATGCCCGCTCGTAGTAATTAGTCTCAGACATTAATAGTATGAAAGTCAACAAACGACATTATTTATTAACAAGTAAAATTTTTTTAGATTTTTTTAAAGTATTCTACGTTTGTTTTTCATATTCTTTTCATACGATTTTTAGCTGTGTTTAAAATTCCACGTCTTTATCTCATCATCAAGTTAGTTTAAAATCCACTACTTAATTCGACTCGAACATACATACACGAAATCAAAGTAATAACACGTGGTAAACAGGGTTACAAATTTTTCATTTACGTAGTAATTAATATATAGA